CATATCGATTATTAAGCACGAAGTGTATTATGCCGAGCAGAAAACGCTGAAAATCTTACTTCGCAAAATTAATTTGAGACCTGGAATCAATGAAATTTTTTTTTGAAAATTTAAAAAACAGTTTCTAAGATGCCTGAACACCATAAATAATTATCTGTTGTTTGACAAATTGGCGATTGGACCAGGTGTTTCCTATAACAAAACTGAAGACAATTTATCTGGATTTTTTGACAAGGGCACAACAAGCGCTGAAAAAGATTTTTGCAACCATGTGCTAGTTTTTAAGGTGCGAGGTATATTTCAAAAATATAAACAGTACTTAGCCTACTATTTTTGCAGTGGAAGCACAAAAACATTAGAATTCAAAGAGCAAATTGAATAATCCGACGGTCCGTACTCCGTACACTCGTTTGACGAATTGTTGGCCGCCGCAAGGGCAGTTGAAGAGCTCATGGCTGATGTGAGCTCGACCAAGGATCTACCGGTCCCGCCTCCACTACGTAACACCGCCAAGAAGAAATGTAGGTTCTGCCACTTTTCGGGCCATACCACCGACAACTGCAGAAGGCGCCTGCGGCAGCAGGAGGGCGAAAGGGGGAAGACCAAAAGTCCTTGCAGCACCAACCACCACCACCAACCACCAACTATCAAAAACCACCGGTTTTTGATAGTTTCGCGCCCCATCTGGAGTACATCATGGCTGATGCAAAAGTGACCGTGGAGAGTTCGCAAGTGACACTCTCCCCACATTCTCAAGAGCTGTTTCCTGGACCCAACATAGATATTGCTTTGAAAATGATTATGCTTTAAGGGAAACGTACGCCAGAACAGCTTTGGAACGTTTTTTGAACTCCCAGAACGCTTGGAAACATATTGTTTAGCGATCAAGCGCATTTTCACATCGGAGGGTACGTAAACAGAATATGCGTTTTTGGAATCCCAACAACCCAAGAGAACGCCACCAGAAGTTTGCACTGCCCTAAAACCACAGTTTGGTGCGCTATTTCGTCTCAAGGAATAATCGGCCCATATTTTTTTAATCCTCGGGAAACTGTGACTTCTTTTGTGTACTTACTGCCGTATGATTGATGAGTTTTTAGTACCGCAATTGCAAGTGTTTAAATACGGGGCACACTATTCGTCATTTATCTTATTTCTAATTATAATTGTAATCATTGTAATAGTTTATAAGTACTATAGTAATTTTACTAAAATAAAAACAGGTAGGCCTGCCTGAGGCAGCATTCACGATGTCGAACTCGCGATTATCACTCCTAAAGTAGAATCTGAATCTGAACAAAATCCAGGAACCTCATTCCCCAAAATTCGTAGAAACCTATAAATAATTTTACTTAAACCCATAAACTTAGGAGATTTAACCCCTAAGTTTATTCTTGATATATCTCTCAGCCCTCGCAACTTAGCCCTCCGACTCACAGTCGAGCACCGGGCGGACTGCTAAAGTCCCCCCATTCTTTGTCCAGAACAAGGCGTCCTGGAACAAGATTTCCGGCGCGCTCAAGGAGCGCCACATTAACTTCTCGTACACTAAGTCGTGAAACGTAGGAATTAAGGTGTCCTTGTCCACCTCGGACGAGCACCGAGCCCTAACACGCTTTCTCGATGAAAACCGTATCGGTTATAGATAGATAGATAGATAAAACGTTTATTTGCATAACAGACACACATTACAAACAGAAAGTACCAAAAGTAGGATAAAATAGTACTCTCAGGACAATATGACATGGTATGGTAAAACAGCAAGAAAAAATAAAAAAAAAAAACATTATGACCATTATGACATACAATATAGGTACATACTTTATACAGTTATCATACTTTCCCCCGCGAAGAGGGAAATGGAGCTGCGGGTTGCTATCCGTGGCATTCCCAAGGAGCTAGACTCCGCCTCCATCTTGGCCGACCTCAAGGTCCAAAATTTCCCTGTCAAACAGATCCATCGGCTGTACTCTGTACAGGACTCGTACACGTGAACCGTTTGATCTTGTCCAAGTAGTCTTGGACTATTCCAACGAAGCAAAAGTGATTTTCAATCTGAAAACTAAACGAAGAAAACTCATCTCCGGGCTCAAAATTGAGCCACCCCGAAAGCGCGGCGCTCCCGGCCAGTGCCACCGCTGCCAACATTACGGACATGCTGCCCGTAATTGTCACGCCCGTCCTAAGTGCGTCAAGTGCCTATGCGATCACGGCACAGCCAACTGTGTCCGTGACCAGGCCACAGCTACGGAACCACAGAGCTGTATACTGTGTGGTACTCAGGGGTCATCCTGCAAATTATCGCGGTTGTCCCCTGGTCGCACTCACCAATATTTCAGCGATGGAATTGTTAGGTTGTCGAGTTAAAAATCCAAAAAATATGAAAACCATCTTTAAGCACCCTTCATCAGATCAAGAAGTGGCGGACTGGCGGTATTTCTATATCCTTGCCACATGATTAAGCTTATCCGTAATCACTGTGAAGATAAAAAAGATTAGCGTGGTGAAAGAACGCCTCGCAAGTTTTGGTCTAAACTTAGACACAGATATTATTGCAATAATTTATGGCCACGATAGCCCAACGGCACTTCACCGACTGGCCGACTCGAGATTCGAGGAACGCGGGTTCGAATCTCACTGCCGCTTGACTATTGTTGTGCTATTGTGGTGAGCCCACTCGTAACACAAGCTTATTTAGCTTAACACGAGGGGCTAACGGAACTATAGTAATTTGTGCAATATAAATTGCTAAAAATCTTTATTTAAAAAAATACAACGGACGCGACGGCGCTAGTGTGATGGTGAAGATTGGTAGACTTTTACGTTGTTTCCAGCAGCTTTGTTTTGCACACGGCTTACAACTAGTGGTGGTTGATGCAAAAGCAATGCTTTAAATTTTAGAATGCCCAGTAGCAACATTTACGACGGAGTATGATAATGATGATATGGACGCCAATGAACAGGGTGTGACTGTAAATATAAATTCACAGCCTCTTGAATTGATTTTTTTACATTTGACGATCTAATAAAGAAAGTACGGAAAGTGGTGTTTGTGTTGTTTCAAGATGTTTAAACGGTCACCAATTGAAAATGACGTCTACTTGTAGTTTCAATTTGATTTTATAAAATGATTTCAAAGATGCGAGATTGCAAACCCTATACCATTCATATAAACGAAATGGGCCCAAGTGACAAAATTGAAAGGGTTTGTCCACAACGAAGCCAGAATGTGTCATTGATTACACCAAGAATATGGGCACAGTCGATACTGCAGACATGATGTTAAGTAACGTTCAATGTCAATCTGCCTAAACATAAATTACGTTTGAAAATACATATTTCAACTGTCTGTTGCAAACCCTATACCATTCATAAAAACGAAATGAGCCCGAGAGACAAAATTGAACGGGTTTGCCCACAACGAAGCCAGAATGTGTCATTGATACACCAAGAATATGGGCACAACAGTCGATACTGCCGACATGATGTTAAATAACGTTCAATGTCAATCTGCCTGAACGTAAATTACGTTTGAAAATACATTTTATTTTATTTTTTATTTTATTGTTAGGAAAACAAACAGCATTCTATAACACATGTAGAGTTACCAATTAAACTTCACATTTGCCAAAATAGTTTTCACAAATAGTTTATACATACATAGGTATCGTTTTTAAAAATTGAGACAAACATATTTCAACTGTCTGTAATACGTCAAATCATTCAAAGTATGGAGGTTAGTGCATTTGAATGCACAATCGTTCGGTCAATTCCTGATCATCCTACTCGTAATCATCCAGGTTATGCTGCAGCCCACATGCTCAATTATTCAGGGTGATTGTGATACTCGACCTATTCCTTGAAAGGAGTTGTGAACCAGGAGTCTAAAATGGATGGTTATCGAGCTGTGACGGTTTTTTGATCTTTTAGAAAATTTTAATTGTGAAGAAACTACTCAACTCTAAACATTGAATTTATACTTTTCAGAAAGTTGAAAAAATTGTGATAATTTTAAAAAAGAAAAGCTCTTGGCCAAAACTTACTTAATAAAAAAAGGATCTTAAGTAAAAATATTTTTCATTTTCTGTCGGCAGCTTTTTTTAATGTAGCCAGTGAAGAAGACATGTTCAACATTTGACATAATATGATTTAACTGAGGAGCTACTTGTAGTACCTATGTAACCTAAGTTTTAACCTAAGTATTCTTAAAAATTGTATTTAATAAAGCTGTTAATTTTTTTAATTACTATTTAACATGTGAGCTTTTTTCGCCTGAAACAGGTTTTTAACCTAGCTCAGGCTACAAAAGACTATGAATTGTATATGTAAACTCTAGCATAATAACTTCTTATAATGCTCTTATTTTAATGAATAAACTATTTATTTATTTATTTTTATTATTATGTTGCACTTTGCTTGGTCAAGTGACCTGATTCTTCAGCGTTACTGGGACGAAGAAATCATGACCCTGCGTCTCGCCGTGCCCTAGACTTCGCCGAGACAGATCCCGAAACAGTGAGTAGGTATATTGAACAGATTAACCAGGAAGATGACGCCTCACTGAGGCAATTAGCCAGTGAAGACATGTAGCACTTTGCTTGGTCAAGTGACCTGAGTCCGTTCCAGATTCTTCAGCGTTACTGGGACGAAGAAATCATGACCCTGCGTTTCGCCGAGACAGATCCCGAAACAGTGATAAGGTATATTGAATATGTTAACCAGGAAGATGACGCCTCACTGAGGCAATGAGCCAGTGAAGACATGTTGCACTTTGCTTGGTCAAGTGACCTGAGTCCGATCCAGATTCTTCAGCATTACTGGGACGAAGAAATCATGACCCTGCGTTTCGCCGAGACAGATCCCGAAACAGTGAGTAGGTATATTGAACAGATTAACCAGGAAGATGACGCCTCACCGAGGCAATTAGTTTGTGAAGACATCTTGCACTTTGCTTGGTCAAGTGACCTGAGTCCGATCCAGATTCTTCAGCGTTACTGGGACGAAGAAATCATTACCCTGCGTTTCGCCTCCCGAAACAGTGATAAGGTATATTGAATAGTTAACCAGGAAGATGACGCCTCACTGAGGCAATTAGCCAGTGAAGACATGTTGCACTTTGCTTGGTCAAGTGACCTGAGTCCGATCCAGATTCTTCAGCGTTACTGAAACGAAGAAACCATGACTTTAATATGTAGGGAAACTAATAGGTAACTAAAACATAATGCGGCATACCTACCATGTCAACTTACCCCATAGCAAGAAACCGCACCCAAGTCTGGTACCTACAAGAAATGTTTTCAGGCGCTTATAATTGTGAGCATATTGAATGCGTACATAATTTATAAAAGTGGCCACAAAATCGACCACATGAACTTCCGGATGGAGCTAGTGACTTCCATTTTAGCAAACCACCAATGCCGGAGGGAAGTCGCTATGCTGCCAGCTCTTGAGGCACCCAAATTCACGGCAGAGGTAATCTCATATTTCCCTCAAGAGCTGCCCGTTATCGCAGGTAGCAGCAAAACCTGCAAGCAGAGACCATAAAAATTACAAGCCGAAGAAGTGTAGGCAAGGTCTATCTGTAAGTGGTGCGATTGAAAATGTTTCAACCGGAAAAAGATACATAATCGTACATGCAGGGTCAGAGAGAGGTCCTGTGTCCAACTCACAGTAAGTGTTTAGCACTAACTCAAAAATGGTAGACTACCACCACGACATGAATGCCTCCAACTTTATAACAAATCGCTACAAGAGAAGCTCATAACGCCAGTTACCACCCAATAATAGTGAATAAAGCTCGTACATCACAAAACAAAAAAAAATGTATGGCTTAACAATAAATGATATTCCATTTGAAGAATGCTACTCAAAAGATGAACTGTTACGTCTTGTAAAGCGGCATATACCAGATCAAAAGGAAGCTGATGAACTTTGAAAAGTCATGGTCATGAAGTATTGCGATTTCCCCCTTACCACTGCGAATTAAATGCCATTGAGCTTGTTTGGAGTTTGGCGAAACGTAAGGTGGCAAGCAAAAATATAGGCCTTAATGCAGTAGAGTTAGAAAAAGTAATAACAGAGACATTTTCAAAACATTTCAACAGAGGACTGGAAGAACATGACAGACCATGTCATTCATTTTGAAAATAAGTATAAAGAAAGGGATAACAAAAAAAAGTGACTTGAATCATGTTTAATTGTTCTAAAAAATAAAATAATTGAGAAAAAAAATTTTTTTTCACCACCAAACCCGTAGCATGAAAACGAAACAACATAACGACCAACAATTACAACATAAATTCATTTTTTTTTTAAATATGGTACAGCTTCTATACTCTACGGATTTCAGGGTTGTTTCTTTGTTACCTTTAAATGTCTATTATGGTTTACCCGCTGGCAAACATTTCATTGCTATCGAATCTGGGTTTTTAATGTATGGGTTTTGGACCATTGCCTTTGGGACCAGCCTCTCATGGAACTTTATAATTAATGAAACGAACAGATACGCCTGGGAGAGTATCGCACCCTCTTTTGAGACTGGTGATGGGATACCTCGGCATAGCAGAATGAGCAAATGGGTAGATACTTCTGTCGCTGAGCTGTACAAGCTATTTGCTATAATAATCTTTATGGGCATGTGTGTGAGGGGCCGCATCGACGAATACTGGAGCACCAAACTGCTTGGCATGCCTGGATTCCGACGAATCATGACCAAGGAACGATTTTTGTTGTTGATGCGGTTCTTACATTTTGCCATGCCGAATTAAACGTACACAACATAAATTCAATTTTTTTTTAAATATGGTATAGCTTCTATACTCTACGGATTTCAGGGTTGTTCTTGTTGCTAGCTATTTGCTATAATAATCTTTATGGGCATGTGTGTGAGGGGCCGCATCGACGAATACTGGAGCACCAAACTGCTTGGCATGCCTGGATTCCGACGAATCATGACCAAGGAACGATTTTTATTGTTGATGCGGTTCTTACATTTTGCCAACAATGCCGAATTAAACGTTCACGGTCCCGAGAGTAAATTGTCCAAAATTAAACCAATAATTGATTTTTTAAACAAAAAAAAAAATAGTCCATATACACTGTAACTAGGTACTTTATTATAAAGCATTTTACGTTATTTTAGATAATTGTACTTTATGAGAAAAATAAAGTACACGAAAATACATTATTTCGCATGATCTGACTTCATCGAGATTTTGAAGTTTAGTCGATTATTTTGTTAAATGAAATTTATCAATTGGTGATTTGGTGCTGAATCGATGTCGCCACTCGCCAGTGCCACATCCCTCAAGCACTCGTTGTTTACAATTTCTGAACGCAACCTAACTTTTTAAACTTGTATAAAGTAATTTCATTTTTATTGTCTATTCCCGCCACGTCAGCATTTACAGAAAGAAACAAAGCGTCTCTGAATTTAATAAGAAATGAATTATTAATTTACTTTAATTCGAATATAGACTGTGCAATTGTTTAGTAAAGATGCTAATTTAATAAAGACTGCAAAAAGCAGTAAAAAATATGTTTTTAAACTTATATTTTTTTTAATAATAGATTTTTTTTCTTACCTATAATAACCAATGTACTTTAACTGCAAAAAAAGTGGCAACCCTAACTGTAACCCTTAATTTTTTACTATTTAATAAAAATTTGGACTAGGCTAAATGAGATGTTACCTTTGCCTGCGTCGAAGTGTAGTCTTTAAAAGAATTTCAAATGTTGTAATTACTCGATTACATGTCATTACATGTCCCGACATTGTGGTATTACCAACATTTGGGTTTTCTGCACGAAAAGACAAACCCGACATCCGAAATAGTTGACAACTTTAAAACAAATAATAAGAATCCATCTATTAAGGTAAGCATTAAATATTCAGAAAATTAATCATTATATCTTGAAAATTAACACGCCCTTGATTGTTAAAATATTCTGTAAATATTTGCCTAACAGAATTACCGTCTGCAGTGCGTTGCCTTTCTGTTCTATCAACACTCACAGTGTTGTCATTTTGTCGCCAATCTCCCGGCCGGAAGGTGTATTTTTCAGTGTCCTCCAAATCGACACAGTTCCTTGTCATGTAGTTGCAAGACTTTTTCCTCAAATAATTGTGTAATGCGCATGAAGCCATTACCACTTTTGGTACATTTTTGACATTAATTTGTATAGGTTTTTTAAATAGTCTAAAACGTTCGGCTAAAAAGGTTTTCATTAATGGCGAATGCGTTATCTGCAACAAAACAATACGGCGCAATAAGATCCGATGCAGGCAGGTGTTGGTAAATGTAATTGATTATTCACTAATTTTTCATAAAAAACTGTATGTTTAAATACTCCGCCATCAGAAACACTGCCATTTGCGCCTGCATTCACGTAAATAAATTCGTAATTGGCATTTACGAAACCAAGTAAAACTACACTGAATGTTCCTTTGTAGTTGTAATATAATGAACCAGACTGTGGTGGCTTTTCGATGATGATGTATTGTGCTTGCCATCAATGGCACCCAAGTGATCGTGCATCGCTAGCAGATGGACGTGCTCTCTGCTATTATTGTTTAATTATTACAATGCAGACAATAAAATCTGTGTCAAAAAAATACTATGCCAGCGCATGCACTGTCATGCACTCGTTTGACAAACCAAGTGCAGTGTTGTTTATTGAATAATAATTCAATAATGGAAAGTCCCTTTAATCGAAGTACAATGACCAGCCGAAGCCCGCCTCCACCACAGAGAAGACCAACCGAAGAAGATTCTACTCCCGCAACATCAATAATTGAAGCTGTATCGACTGAAGAAATCCAAAAATGGATATCCACCATTGAACAATGTCTTAACGACATATGCTATACATCAGGAGAAGGTAAACTGAACTCAGAACAGAAGTTGAGAATCAGCAACACAAGCAGAAAAGTGTTGGGTGGTGTCTCTCAATTGGCTGTGCAATATCAGTCACTAAAACAGAAATATATCTCAGCCCAAACAATGATCAATACCTTAATCGATCAAAAGGAGTCATCAGATCGAGGATTTAAAAAAGTATGTATTCGCTCTACTCAAAAGGTTGAACAATCGAACGTATCTTTTGCCGACGTGGTAAGAACAAGTAAGAGTTCCATAGTAAGACCATCAAGCACCAGCAATATTGCTGTTTACCCAGCAAGTAAAGATAAGACGAGTGAAGAGACCAAGAGACTTATTCAGACCATCATCAAATCGGAAGAGTTAAAACTGCATATCCGATGGATGAGAAAAACCAGAGGTGGTGGCATTATAATTAGCGCTGAAGGCAAAGATGACCTAGAAAAGCTGAAAAAATCGGAAAGTCTGTTGAAAACTTCAGGTCTCAAAGTTGAAGAAACCACAAAACGGAGGCCTAAAGTGATATTGTTAGGTGTGCCCACCAACTCTTCTGAGAAAGATGTTTTTGAATGTCTTTACGAGCAAAACATCTCGGGTAAACATCAACATATGGACCGCAATAAATTCTTAAGCTCTCTAAAACTAAGCCACAAAACTGGTAAAAAAGATGGGCCCTACTGTAACTATGTTCTGGAACTCACTTCTGAACTACGAAAAATTCTCATAGAACAGGAGAGAGCATTCATAAATTGGACCTCTTGCCCAGTCAGAGACTAAACACTCGTTACTAGATGTTACAAGTGGCAACAATATGGCCACTCGGCGAAATTTTGTAGAGAAACTGAATCCACCTGCGGGCACTGTGGTTGCGCTGGGCACTCAATCAAAGAATGCTCAAAATCGCAAGACCCTGCGATCTGTGCCACGTGCCGTCGGCCTAACGACCCATTCCCTTTAAACTTAGTTTCTTTTTTGTGTCACATACACAATAAATTGTTATTGTTCAAATAAATATTTTTATTTTGCCCCGGCAATTTTTCCAAATTTACACAACTTGGCTTAGATAAAATTGGTACGTGGGCCGAGCTGAAGAAGCGGTGTGTGCAACTGGAACGCAGACGAGCTCTTTCCAAAAAGTTCTCGTAACCACCTAAGATCACGGACAAGCTGCTTGCTCCCGACATGGCTTGTAAAGTTTCCCAACGTCGGAAACAATGTTTAGAGGTGGCCGCGGTTAAGAAGTTTTGCCCTCGGTGCCGCGTGGATAGTCATTCTTTGACCGAATGCGAGGCTGTGCCAGGTCTTGTTTGTTTTGATTGTGGAGAAAAAGGGCAAACCACGAAGACTTGTCCTAAGTGCTCTCGCAAAAACTCTGCTTCCACGACCCGATCTCGGAAATCTCCATGATTGGTGGAGACTCCATCAAATATTTTTCTGGTAGGGCCACTTTACAGCCATCTCACTAAATCTGGGAATTTTGGCAAAAGCTTTTCTGGATTTTGGCAGTTCTTGTAATACAATGACACAAGCTTTTAAGAGAAACAAGCTTGGAGTTGCAACCAAATAATTATGTGGTGATAAAAGGATACGGGGGATGCATTGATCACACCTTATACTGCTGATCTTGTGTAGATGATGCAACGCAGAACAATTCAGGCATTCAGGCAGGTATAGATTCATGACGTTACCTTTAGGTGTTTCATCAGAGGTTATGCAAAAAATAAATAACAGTATCTTTAGTGACATAGTAGGAGTACATAATATTCTATGATGATATAATAATGGGAGGGAAAAATAGAGCGGAACTTAATCAAAACTTGGCTCAAGGGACAGAAAGAGCTAGGAAATACAATGTAAAGTTTCATAGTTCAAAGTTACAGTTTAGAAATGATCATATCAAATGTAGGTTTGTACATTTCAAAGGAAGGTATTAAAGTTGATCCGGATCATGTGAAAGCTATATTAATGTTAGCGGAACCAAAAATTACAAAAAACTTCAAAAGTTTTTAGGAACGTGCAATTATCTGAGTAAGTTAATTCCATAACATACAAAGAGCACTGAACCTTTGAGAAGTTTACTGAAAAAAGATTTAGTGCATTTGGGATTCAAGCCATACAGTTGTATTTAAAGAATTAAAAGACAATATCAATGTGTATTGAGTACACAACACATATTTATTTGTTCAAAAAAGTTCTAATTCTATGTATCAAAAATATTAATTACGCATGACATAAAAATCCAAGTTTAGGGTAGAAATTGATTATCCACAAATATGCACATGAGCGGCGTAGATCTTGCTTACATGTTGATTGCTAGGATGTGTTCTTATACAAATGTGATCTGAAATCATTGGCCACAAAGTTCATGCCACTCAAAATTTTCTGAGTTTCCTGACCTTGAAAACTGCCTGTTAGAATGGATAAAACAAAACCTCGATAGAACATTCCCATGGAGCACTGCTGAAAAAAAATCTAAATACTTCGCTACAAAATTAGGAATCCAGAACTTTTCAGCTAGTAACGTCTGGTTAAAGGGTCTTTAAAAAACGCCATGATATAACTGTCAAAAAAACAGCCGGAGAAAATTAGATATCGTAAAGTAGATCGTCTTGGTATCAAAACGTACCAGCTATGCGAGTCCACAATCGGATATCTATGGTCATTATTTGTGTACATCGGTCCTTATTCCAACCTCAGGTTAACATGTTTCCCCAGTCTTGGGGCTCCTTACTCCGGTCAAGAGGACTATCGTCTGTCGCCTACCCTGCTACGCCAGACCTGACGAGACAAGTGTTACTTATCGCTGCTGCTGTTGCACGTGTTATGCGAGCTCTATGTACCTCGGTTCTAAGAATGATCGGACGATGTCGTCTAGACGCTGAGCTTGCATTTGTTGGCGATAAGCAGCCCTGCGCCTGAGCATCGAGCCGGTTTTGGAGCTTCAGTTGAAGACTTAGATTCAATAAGGTTAGATAAGTCAAATTGTAATTGAAAATAAAATATATTTTTTCGTGAAAGCTCTCGGATAGAGCATAACTCGCGCGAATTAAGGACAGTGCGGTTAGATTTTTTTAGAGACTAGTGGTGCGTCGGTTGTGATTAAATTAAGAACTCGCACTACCTGGGACTTAAACTTAATAGACTTGTCAAAAGCTTCCCGGCTACGCTCCCTACATAACTGGCGCAGTCGTGGTAGGATAGTAAAGTTGTAGTCAGTGCTAGCAGCTTGGGGTGCGAATCCAACTGTATACACCGCAGCAGCCGAAGACCAATACCAGGCCCTGGGCGAGTATCAACCTCTGCACGTCGCCGCACTATCCTTCTGAACCTACCCTAGCCGAGGACCAGCACTAGCACCGAGACACAGACTCAAACCTGGGAGATGAGGCTATATTGATTGGGGGTAAGTAAGCTTTCTTTGTTGCCCAGTCTTTATCATACCGTCCTGTGAAAAGTGTGATCCCATGTCCCCTTTTCCTACAAAATATTTCCTAAATTGTGTGATCCAATGAGGGCTATCGTTTTTATACTTAACAGTTGGCGATTGACAGGACCTTACTCTACAGTGGCGCCATCTTGATGAGTGCAAATGCGATAGTCCTCCTACCACTTTAGCGCTCACCAGATGGTGCCACTG